GAAGAACAGCATTTATTTGAAATAGAAATCTTTAGTAACATTATAAATGTCTTCACTGACACTTTTGATTAAATGCATCCCTGATGAATAAAAGTATTAATTTCTTTCTAAATAAATTCAAATAAATCTGACCCCAATCTTTTGAATGCTAGTATATCTGATGCCACACATGTGAGTGGATTTATTGCTCAAATTAGAAGTAGTTGGTTTCCTTGCACTCTCTGTGCTCTCCTTTCATTGAATCCCGTTGACTGAGAAGCTCTTTTCTGCACATCATGAGTTGAATGTGACATTTCACAAACGTGATTAGACAAAAATGCATGTACATAGCATGCTCTAATGATCTCTGTATGGTATGGCACACACAGGCCACAGTATTCGGTTAATGCACGCTTTTCATGGAAACCTGCATCACATGAGCCGCGGGGTTATTCCCTTCCCGACTCTTTCAGTTCAGACTCTCAGTTCCTCTGGCATCTTCTCTCTGATTCCTCTCCCACCCACCATACTTTCACCTGTCTGCTCTCACGCTCCTCCAGAGGATGTGAAGACCGGGGTTTCTCGACTTACTTGCCGTTGTTGAGGACGACGGTGCAGTTGGGCCAGCAGTCGTGATTGACCAGACACAGGTTCGGGAACAAGCCGACGCCGACGGCCTGCAGCCCTCGCTGATCGCTCACCATAAACCCGTTACAGTTGATCTGACACACATAGAAGAAGAGTTACAGAGTTACATCTGAATTTGAAAAATTGAAACACGGTTTTATTTTATCTTTGTTAAAGGCGTCATGAACTGCCTTTGTTTTTTTATTTTGAACAGCTCTCTGAGGTCCACTAATAATGATTTTACATCAAAAACTTCATAATTTAGAAGTACTAAGTTGCAACATCAGAACACTCTGCTTGAATAGAGTGTTATTATCTGCTAATGTGGTAAGAATAATAACCTTAATTCAAAGGCTAAACAAGATTATTTTTCTTACCCCATTGGCAGATATTTTTGCTTGTTTTAAGGAAAAACTAACATTTTGATTATATTTTTAGAAAACAAGACTTAATATCTTAAATCATTTTACTTGTATCTTGATTCAAGAATGTTTAGATATGTATACCAGAAAACAAGACAAAAACACTAAGCAAGAGAATCATTTTTTGCGGTGTAATCTGTGATAATGTGAGAAATGTCTGAATAAATCTGTATTTCATGCATCATTTCTGCATGATATTCAACGAGTGAATTTGTTGTGCATTCTCACCGTGTGTGCTGCACTTGGAAATACTTAAAAGTCATTTTAAGTATATTTCTGAGAAGTACCTAAAAAGTAGACTGAAAGTATACTTTCCTATTTTTTAGTTTAAAAAAACTATAGTAATAGCACACTTGAATAAACTTATTTTTCGTAAGGGAAGTAAAATGACTTGTTTATATATAGGTCTTGTTTTCTGAAAATATTATCCAAATTTTGTTAAAAAGCAACAATATCTGCCAGTGGGGTAAAAAAAATAATCTTAATTCAAAGGCTAAGCAAGATTAGTTTTCTTACCCCATTGGCAGATATTTTTGCTTGTTTTAAGCAAAAACTAACAAACTTTTGATTATATTTTTAGAAAACAAGACTTAATATCTTAAATCATTTTACTTGTATCTTGATTCAAGAATGTTTAGATATGTATACTAGAAAACAAGACAAAAACACTAAGCAAGAGAATAATTTTTTGCGGTGTAATCTGTGATAATGTGAGAAATGTCTGAATAAATCTGTATTTCATGCATCATTTCTGCAAGATATTCAATGAGTGAATTTGTTGTGCATTCTCACCGTGTGTGCTGCACTTGGAATAAACTTTATTTAATGACGGTTTCGCACGTTTTTAATAAAGACAATGTTATCTGAATCATGTTTAAACAAAACCAAGAACTGTACGTTCACACACCACTCCGAGCATTTTGGAGACGCTGTCCACTGTGTGTGGTTTGCTGGAACGAGGCCAGTAGTCTAGGAAGTTGTGTATGTCGACTTTGAAGTCCTTGAGGTCGTCTTCGGAGATGTCGTAGATGTGGTCCTCCAGCTCCTCCAGCGCGGCCAGCTGCGTGTCGGAGACCACGCTTCCCTGCTTATCCAGACGCCACAAGATGCGAGCGGCGAGACTAACACACACAACATCAGATTTCACATCATTTCTGTCACATATGAGCAGTGTTGGGGAAAGTTACTTTTAAAGGCACAATATGTAATTTTCGCCACTAGAGGGCGCGTATTCAAAATAAACAAATAGACAAAGGCGTAGTTTGATGACGCCGTGACTGAGTGTGGAATCATGGGAGTTGTGGTCTTCATCCCCACAGCCGATGCAATCCGACGGGACTCGGGCAGAAAGCCGTCGAAGCGAAACGAGGCGCTGAACGAGCGCGACACACGGCT